TCACAAATTATATATCACATTATATATTCATGTAAGGATTAATTGAAGAGAAACTTTTATTGTTTACTTTATAAGTATCTTATTCAATACTTATAAATGATCTTATAGACTACAAAACACTATTTTTTTTATTTAAATGTGCTACATGTTCTACAGTAATTAAGTACATTAAATTGAATAGCTATGCTACCATTCTTGTCTAACAATTACCTTTACTTGTTACATATTCATTATCAGTTTAGGCAGCAAATGTAAGAACCATTTACAGAGATCATGAATATCAAATTAAAATGGCATACTGTACATGCAATATAAGCATACTCATGACAACCAGAAGCAGCAACAATTAAAGCTTAACATGAACAACTGCACAACAATTACTGTACTAATAAACATTCTTATATACCCCCCCCACAAAAAAAGGGCATTCACGCATAACTTGCTGAGAACAATAACTACTACTGTACATATTACAGTATAAGCAAGGGCAAAAAGCAGCCATGCAAAACAAAATTGCTAAAGGGAAGTATATACAACAGTATGCTGCTTGAGATTAGGTCAGTGTTGTTGGACGTCCAAATCATAAATTTCTACATTATACGGTGAAACATTTATCATTACCTGTAGCTTGTAAAGCGTATTGTTAATTTATTGCTAAATTATTGGGTTAATTCATGTTCATAATTTTGATGGCTGAAATATGCTGGGAATATATCTAGTCAAGGTGACTGTTTTTTACTGGAAGTTTTAACCCCTTTATTGTACATTCTAATACCTGTACAGTATAAGCAAATAGTCAAGCATACTTCCCTTTAAATTAACCCAACAAATAATCTGTTTAATGTATTAACAAAAAGTGAGTAAATGAGTAAATATATTTACAAGCATAATGTATGGTCTAATGGTAGACCCTGCTGCCATATGGCATCACAAAAATTGTGACCAAGTCCCAGGTTGCTGATCTGACTTTCTGCCCCATTTACACAGAATTGCAGGGTCTCAATTGTTTCTCTTACTATTGACAAAACACAACATACATATATTGTTTCTCACTTTTGATAATTTTTCATTTTTATATTTCTTTGTTATTACTATTATTATTATTATTAGTGTTGTTATTATCATTATTAATTTATTATTTTAATTTCAATTTTGTATTTTTTATTAAAAATGTTATTTACTATGAATTATTATTATTATTATTATTACTACAGCTACATGTTCGCCCCCCAGGCCCCGATGTGGGTCAGTGACCTGTGCCCGGGTGGGCTAGTCCCGTGAAAAACAAAAACAAAACAAAAACATTACCAGTATGTCCATCAACACTTCCCATAGGATAAAGCAACTGATGGACCATCTGTTAAACATTGGTTAGAGAATATTCTTCATAGTTCAGCTTCTGTATCAAATAATAATCAGTATTGCTTTAGTTAAGGTACACCGATACCTAAGCAGTCATTGTCCACTATGCACAAGGTTGAATAAGATTAAACTGTGTATGACAATATTACAACAAGCATTTCCTATGACGAAGAAAACATGATAAAATAAATACTGTATAGTAATAAAGTTAAGAGAAAGATAACATATCAATTTACCTGTTATTGGAAGTGCAGTATAAACAAGGCGACCAGCGGTTGAATTGGTCGCTACAGACAAGAGATGTATTTAGTTTATGTAGCGTTTTAGTCTTCAGAAAGGCTATACAGTATTGGGATTTCTCAGCCAAGGAATTAAGTTGGACATGAGAATGATTACGGATACCTTTGTCAATAAGTTGTACTAGGATATTCACAAGATATATTAAAGAATATTATAACATTAGTTTTTTGCCTTTAATCTAAGTTCCAGATGAAAGTATGGGTAAAGAAACAGCCAACACCTGAAGGACCTTATGGATTTCGTTCAATATTGAGCGATTGTTTTAATGATGATACTGAATAATGAATGTGATAAGAGAAATGTGAGCCATTAACTTAACCAAACATTACCTAACCTAACGAATACTAATCTCGATTTACCTAAACAACCTAACCTAACACAATTTTATTTTTCATTCCAAATACATTACGAAAATAAAATTGTCAGAAACAAATAGGAAAATGTTACTGCGAATTTAATTGTGTTCAAAGTATGTGCTGGGTTTGTTTACTTTTGTACAGGTTAGGTAGGTTAGATAAAATTAGGTCAGGCTCTAGTAGGTTCTGTGCAGTCATAACACTTTATTACTTAATATCAACCAAAGAAGTCCTTCTGAAAAATTGGTGCAATTCCATAAAGTCCTTCTGGTGCTAACATTACCATATTATGTACTTGTCTTACGAAAATGAGCCTTGGTTCTTGAGTTTTACTATCATCTACTTACCTTTTCTTGTTCTTTGAGAAGTAATGAAATCTCAGGTCTTTATTGATGTTTTTATTAGTGCCGCACACAACACCCTGGTGAATCCCTTTCCTTCACGCCATGTTTGTGTCACTGTCGTGCCCAGCGGCCAAGAGTCAGAACAAACAGCCAACACAACTTTTCACGCCATTAATCAGTGTCATCTAGGGGCCAGGCGCGCACTACGGGGGTCTTCATTAACTTTCCTTGCTCACCACCATCACCACTACTAGCACCACCACACATGGCACCGCAAGGTAAACTAAAGGAGCAGCTCTCATACCATATAGAGGAAATGTTTGTGCCTTCACACTTTTGGATAAGTTGCATACAGTAACTTTTTTTATGAATATTTACGTTGGGTTGGGTTTGGATACAGTGCAAAATTGCAACCACTCTATATATTTATTAGCTTGCTTGACCTGCAGACCCACCAGACTTGTCTCCTACTCCAAGGTCGCCGTCACTGACTTCACTCACAACAAAACAAGCCGCCTTTGCCCCTATTAAACCTCCTTGGTTCTGATGGCAGGGGGTTAAACAGTGACTGTGTGGAACACTTCCTATCAACTTACCTGACCCTCACAGCTGATATAAACAAACCAGGAGGTGGTTGGTTTCATCCCCTGTACAAAATTTTTACATTTTAGACTGGTGTCTTTAGTCTTACAGCCAGCTGAATGAGAAATTATTTAATTGCATAAACGGCTTGAGCCCTAGCTGGTAGCCTGGCCAGATTGGCCATCATTATAGGCTTTTGCACGGTCAGTAGGGCCAGATCCAAGGTAAAATATTTGTGAGGACAATCATGCACATTGAATTTCGTGAGAATACATTAAAAAAATTTTGACATTAATTTATTCATCCGTCTGTATGCATCTGTTTTACCTCACTGGAATTAAGATTCAGAAAATTTCAACTTAGGAACTCTATTAATTAAACGCTTTTGCGCTTTACTTTGCGCAGGATGCAAGGGGGTGCCCAATAAACTAGCCTCCTTGCGGGGTAAATCTGAAATTTTATATATATATAGAGAGATTGAGCACAAAAAATGCTTTACTCTAAAACAACTTCGTTAAACATTAATGTTTTTAAAGCTATTTTGACTGAATTTATTTATTTTATTTTTATTTATTTATTATTTTTTTAGGGGGGTCCTTTGTTTTTTCTTATCTCTTGTTGAGTTACATCTCAGGATAATTTCTTGTTCAAATGAATCCTAAGTTTTTTTCAATTACTTGATATCGTCGATTGTTCAAAACCTCAATACTGCCATCTGTCACTGTATAGGTACTGTACTCCTCTGAACATGCTGATTAAGGAGCTATTGTCCAAAATGTGATATCTGGTTAATTACTGGAATGTTTTAATTACTTTTTAATGCCAATTACTCACCACCTATGGTTTTCAAGGTCACTTTTTGGTGTTTTTGTTATTCTGGGTGTACTTTAAACAGCTATAAATTAAATTCCAATTATGAGAAAAAGTGTTTTGGACTTAAAAAAACCCTTTAAGGGGTAAGCCTTACAGTTTTGGCCATAATCTTGATCTCAATGATTTTATTAAAAATCTCAATATATGTACTGTGCTCCTGAACAGCTGATTAAGGATCGGTTGGCCGTAAGTTGATATCTGTAAAATTACTCATCCAAGTAACATCAGCAAATTTTAATTACAGTACTTTTGCAATGCTAATTACTCGCCATCTATGGTTTTCAAAATTACTTTTTGGTGTTTTTTTGTTATTCTGGGTGTACTTAGTTTGACACTTCAAATTCCAATTCTGAGAGAAAAGGTGTTTTGAACCTAAAAATCCGATAAGGGGTAAGCCTTACTGTTTTGATCATAATCTTGATCTCACTGATTTTGTTCAAAATCTCAATATATGTACTGTACTCTTGAACATACTGATTAATCCATCTCTATAGATTATTAAGGACAGGAGGTCCCTGGGTTACAGACGTGTGACTTAAAAACATCCTCCCATATGAACGAGGTTAAACTTTAAATTTACAGTAATTTATTTACCTGTGTACCTGTTTTTTACTTTCATTTACTGTATTTTGTCATTCTATTTCTTCGTTTCTCTTAAATAAAGTGGTTTTAGTTGTATATAAGGACTTAAGGTATGATAAAGTGGGATATTAATCATTGTTCTGTAAGTACGGTATGCACATTGGATATGTTATAGGAATGGAACTTGCACATAACCCAGGGACTTCCTCAGGCAGTCCCTGGTTTACGTGCAAGTTCCATTCCTATGGATGTTCTTGAGTAAAAAATGTATATGTCGAACCACATATCCAATGTGCATACCGTACTTACAGAACAATGTTTAATATCCCACTTTATCATAGCTTAAGTCCTTATATACAACTAAAACCACTTTATTTAAGAGAAAAGAAGAAATAGAATGACAAAATACAGTAAATGAAAGTAAAAAACAGGTACACAGGTAAATAAATTACTGTAAATTTAAAGTTTAACCTCGTTCATATTGGAGGATGTTTTTAAGTCACACGTCTGTAACCCAGGGACCTCCTGTCCTTAATAATCTATAGAGATGGCTTTTGCTGTATAAAACTTAAGTATTATCTGTAAGGATAAAAATAGAAAGTTCTTTGGACACAATTTTATTTTTAGAGTGCCACCCATTGAGTATAACAAATAAATTCAGGATTTTTTGGAGTTTGTCACATCTGCGGAACTGACTGGGTTCTGTTCTCACTAGGAGTGTGCCGCAGTGTGCCCGCCTGGCTGGTGGCAACTGTACTGGGCGGTGGTAGTGAAGTGGTGGGAAGGTGTACAGGGCTCTGAGCCGGACGGTCATCATATGCCGTGAACATCACATGTCCACTGCACTCCCCTCCCACACACTGTTAATGGCTGACTCACCTCATACTCTGCCCATCTGTCACCCATCATAATGGCACTCAGAAAGGAGTGGTGCTGGTGGGTGACTGGTGGGCAGCCTACATTGGCAGCTACAACACAACGGCCCATGGCGGATGGATCACAACCGCCATGGCTATATGGGGGGCAGTTCTACCAAAAATAATAAATCCTAGACCAAGCTTTGCTTGATGAGTCACCTAAATAACCTTATGTACTTATTACAAACAAATGACAGGTAAGTTAGGGGGCAAGATGAACTTGGCACAGACCGCCAGGCCAGGGTGGTGTGGTGGGGAGAGAGAGATTGTGGACTCTTCCTCCCCATGCACGCACGGCTGCACGTGTACTAGCATAGTAGAGAATTATAAATAACAATAGTGAAAGATTTAATCTTAACACATATCAAGAATTAACTAGTTACATAGATGAACACAAATAAGCGGCCAAAGTGAGCGCCGTGACCTGGGCCCCTAACTGATACAACTATAAATCTCTTTAAATGACAACAATTTTTTGGGCAGGTACGCCAGAGTTTTGTGGGTCTCTGGTCATGGCGTTCAAGTGGCGCTCCACCAACGTGAGATGCTTCAAGCAACATCTGACTCGATTTAACACTGCATAGCTGACGCGGGTACAGTCATCACTGGGTTGGTGCGCGCGTGCGTGGTTATAAGGGCAGCAGTAGGACTAAGTGGGTCAGGCTTGGTGGTGAGCTGGCCTGGGCCACACTACTGCCCACTGCTCACCAGGCAGTAGGCTTACCATAGTAAACCATTTATATAATCTTTAAAATTTTTATATTTAACCTTCCCAACAAAGCAGATTCGTTAACTTATGCGTTTGTACTTGCTTTTCCTAGGCCCTGGGGGGCAGTGATCCCCCCTTGGGCCCCCAGAGCGTCCTGGTGCCGGGGCGGCACCACACAGCCTCTGTACACCAGAGGGGCAGCGGCCCCACATGAGCACCATGTACGGCCAGTGGCACCACCCGACACACGGCTGTGGCGTAGCACCAAGTGAGACCCGTGCGGTGAGTACGGGCTGAGATCATGGCGCGGCCCCCACCTCACCTGACTACAGGCACAAACCTGAGGCATTTAGCTAGTGAGGGGGGCGGCCACCCGCAGCCACAAGAAGGTTGCGACCGCGGGTCCGCAGCAGCAGCCTGGGCCCAGGTGCCCAACAGCAACAGCAGCAGCAGGCAGCCCGGGCGGCACATTAGCGCCACATTTGTACTGCGACCATCTCTGCGGTACTGGGGACAGCACGAGCCAGTGCTCAGGCGGCGGCCTAACATGTGTCGGTAACGTCGCTGGGCTCAGTCTTGACAGGGGAGGTGGGAGCTATCACAGACGGGGGAGGGCGAGGACGCAACTCTTCACGCAAAGCTCGCAACTCACCCTCCATCTCACACACCTTTTCACGCAACTGATCTTCATCCTGTGAAAGAATATTTTGTTAAAAATAAATGCACTAGAATTTATATGATACAGTATTCAATAAAATTTAACATGTACTAATAATAACTCATAAGAAACCAGCATTTATACTAGAATTATTAATTAACAGGCAAATTCATCTCAAGGTTCAGGAAGGTTAGGTATCACCACATTAAGATTCAAGTATATTAAAAAAAAAATCGTATTTATACTTTTCCCTGCTACATTTAAAACCTATCCTCTGACTTCTATGACAATTTTCATGTTTCCTAAGAAGCACTTCCCCATGCAGCTTTATTATGGTATGTTATAAATATTTTGTCAATCATGTGCTTTTATTTTTTTCTGAATGCTTTTTCCTATGCAGTACAAGATTAAAAATATATAAAGAATAATGAATTTTCAGTCAAAAGAAACAAATACACTATAAAACTAATTAGGCCTCATAAATATTGTCCCGAAAACTCACTTTGTTGTGTTGTGTGGTAACCATGAGCTGGTTGCGTAGAGTTGCGACAGTATGATTGTGGTCACGTGTCTGTGCATCAAGGCGCTGTCTGAGAGCTGCTTTTTGACGATCACTTGCAGCAAGACGCGCAACCAAATCTGCAACCAACTGAGCTACCTTTCCTGCTGCTGCTCTGTCACTCCAACCTCGAAGCAGACCCTCTGCTTCCTCCACTGTTTCACCTGATAATGAGCATAAATGTGTATGTCAGAATATGCTGTGATACTAAAATTGGGACCCTAAAAATATATTATGGCAGTGAAGAAAGCACCAATGCTGATAATTAATACCATAACAAGGAGTACCACAATACATAATATGACTACTCTCATGTTTAAGTTGTTCTTTGACTTCCAGCAATGACACAAACACAGATCAAGGAAGCCAGACACCCTCACAGGCTACACACCTATTTTCAACAAGTGCAGTATAAAGGGTAATCTTAAACTAATGTACATTTGCCCCTCGGACACTTACTGTGATTGCCGACCGAGCCCACAGAATCAGTGTCGGAGTCCGTTGTTGACAACTCTAGTTCAGGATGACGCCCACTTGTATCTGGACTACAAATTTTCCTTGGCTGATGGTGCTGAGTGTGTTGATGGGTTTGAGTCGGTCTATTTACTGAATGTGTCGTGGTTGGAGAGGATGGCTGGTGACACAGTGGTGGCACAGGAGAAGTCTCACGCTTTATACATTCCACCTCGACTGGTTTCCCAATCTGCTGTAAAAATATAATGGTAACTAATATGTAATTATGTATTCTGAGATTTATCACTACTGTAATTATAATACTGTACTGAACTGTACTTCCCATGGAAGTGTATAAGAGTACAGTACAATGATTTCAACACCGGTGTTTTTAGTCAGTGTACAGTATTAATATGTCCTTAACAAGTAAAGTTGAACGGCCTGAAATTTTAAGCAGAATGTCTAAGGCATTAGATATGAGGATTAATCCTCCAATATGTATTATAATTCACTATATTTAATTAAACTAATTTTTCACATAGGTTTTGCTCCTTTTTTAGCAAAATTTACCAAGTACAATACTGTACAAGAACCACAAATATTTACAGACTGGGTATAAGTGTATCCAATGGTTTTAGGGAAATATGATAAGACAATACAGTAGACTTTAGCTTCTCATGAAACCATTATAATGGGAGATACAGTATAAAGGATCTATAGTACACTATCTTTTACTGGCACGGAGGGTTATTTACACATAGCAACACCCCAAGTTCTGTTTTATATTTTAAATATACAGTACAGTACTGTATTTGACCACATCTTAACTGCCAACATCATTTGAAGGCCTGCTACATTTTCCAAACTATAATTGATCATACTGTATTTATCCTATAGCACCATTTTTCATATGCAATCTTTTTTCATCCTTTCCTACTAACAGTATTTCCCCTCATCTGAAGGCAACCTACATCACATTTTTTTAATGAGGTGATGACATGCTATGTAACAGCACAACAAACAAATGTTGAATCTTAACCCTATGAAAATGATCATGTGATTGAGTACAGCACAGAGTTCCTTGTAGATACAGGTCATCATACTTAAAGAGTTAAACACTTACCAGAAACACAGCAAGTTTGTTGTCATGAGCATCATGGATAAGTTCACCAGGAGAGATATCCTTGGTGGGCAGTGACTCGCGGAAAGCCTTATCCCTCACTTTGGGAGGGGCCAAGGCGACATTGGGCTGGTAGTGACGCTCAAACTTCAGAGAGTCAGAGAGAGGCACCACACGACCAGGATCTGCCAATACGGGAGGACCCTGGCTCAGGTAGGCTGGCACTGGTGCTGGAACACTGTAACCACAATAAAAAAGGTCCTTAATCAACTTATTAAAAAAATAATTATCACCTTAACATATCTGTCACCTCCCCAAGAAAAGTCTTACCCGGAACATTTGTACGTCATATCAACGGTTAACAAATTATATCAAATTCACCCTACAGTGGAGATTAATTGATGCCACAAAGTGTTTCAAATAAAAGAAAAATAATTTAAATGATCAATAATAAAACTTATGCCCATTCTAGAGCTAGGGAAAAAATGTACATTATAGATGCAAGTGTTCGGAAGTGATCTTTCTGTGACCTTGGTCCAGTGCCGACACAAAAAGTGATCCTAATCTAGGTCTTGGTCCAGCAGATGTGGAAAAAAGTATAGATTAGATACTCAGACTCTTTTACATGTTTAGTAACTTTCATGACCTTGACCTTAAGCAGTCAAAGGAGTAAGGTGGTTGTCGGCCATAAGTAATCTCTTTCAAGCTCCACAAAGACCTTTGAAAGTCTTGAAACTTGTTGGTGTTAAAGAACACACTTTATTGTTGGAACTGAAAATTTTCTTTCAAGGATGTTCAAATGGTACCCCATTTACCTAACTTATGGTAATATTGTCTTCATTGTGTACAATACAGTAGTGTAATAATTTCTTCCCAAAATTATTTTCAATATACCCCGGTAGTGTACTGTATACAGTACTGTACAGGTATTTGTACAATGTGTGTGGCGATGGTGATTGGTGCTTCCAGACAGGGATATTATGGCAGCTTATTTTCATACATGTGGAAAAATACATCTGAGGATAGTGAATCACCAAAGATATTGGTGTAAACGTAACAGGCGAACTCTCTGATAAATTTTTGAGGGGTACAGCTTCATATGAAGATATTTTGTAAACTAAAATTTTGTCAAATTCATAATAAACCAGGACTGTGTTCTCTCAATCCGAGGAAGGGGAGGTGGTTGACACTTGAAGAATCCTGCAGATTCAGTACATAAACCAGTGAAATGGTATTTTATGGCCTCAATTATATCAAAATAATTTTTATTGTTTAAGAATAATAATCTCAAGACATTGTTTTTTCTTACGACTGATACCAAGAAAACGTTTGCGCGGCTTACATTGTAACCCTAAAGTTTCCGTTTCCGAGGCGAGCTACTGTTATGAGGTTATTTTCTTGATCTCTGCATGTAGTGTAGTTCCTGCCACCTGTCCATTTCGCCTCTCTGTAAGCTCTCTGTGCTTGATCAGTACTGTGGTTTGTCAGTTGACATCACCCTAATATGTTAAGGAGAAAAAAGTTGAGAGAGAGAGATTTCTTGGAGGTTCGTCATACCTGTCTCTGACGATGGCAGGTGGGGGAGGGGGCAAAACCTTGCCATCCCTGGTAACGAGCGGGGTAGCCGTCCAGGAGGGCGCCATAGCTGCACACCGCCACATGTACAACAGGTGGTCATACGGGGCATAGGGGTTTGGCGCTGTTGAAGGGGGCACCTCCTCCGCCCGCACCTTCTTGGGCAGCTCTTCCTTAACTTCCACACCATCCTGTAGGAGAAAAACATTCATCTTTACCACACATCATCTTGTTCTTGCATATAAATTTTCTTTAATATTATCTTTACTCCTCACTCACTTTTGTGATGCAAGACAAGAAAGAATGCTCAGATACACGGGTTCATGTCCTCTGCTTGCATACGTAGTACAACAAATTGAATTGCAGTGTCCACAAAGCTTATCGATTCAGGCACCGACTACCGAGCGTCCCGGGGAGTTGTTGTTGTCTTGTTATTTGGCTTTATTGTTTTTAGTGAGCGGAGGTGGACGTGTAAGATGACACAGGGAGGGAGAGGGAAGGTCGGTCAAGAGGGGGAGGAAAGGCTGGGTCACAGGGAGGGGGGAGGTTGGGACACAAGAGAGATGGGGATAAAACTACAGTACAGTAGCTACTTTGTATAATTTAAATTTTCAGTTACCTTAACATCGTTGACCTTTAACCTCCAGCTGTGATCATGACCTCTGATCTATTTCACTAAACTTTCCTGCTGCCAAATTCTCAACAAGGTCCGTCAGCTGTGATAGTTCGTCAAGACAGGTTCCTCGCTGAGTTTCACGCCTATCATAAATATTTGAGACACCCCATGATACCTCCCGACAATGACCTTTTGCCTTACATTCACGTATCACAAGTGAGGCCACGTAGTAATGCAATTTACAGTGAGTCGATGTTTTTAAAGGGGAGGGCCGCGAGGGGTTCAGGTGATGTTGCTGGGTAGTGATACTAACTACGGTGCACCTGGCTGTGGACCAGGTGTTCCATCTACGCAATACACCTGTGCACACAAGTTCCGTCATTAATACGTCAATAAGAAGGGGGGGGAGCTCTCCTGCCACAGCTTCTACTGGTGCACGCCGTCTGAGTCCATACTGTGTTTATGGTATAATTCTGGAGGGGATACTGAACAGTCTTCCCATGGCTAGTGTTTACCTCCCAATACAACCTATAGTACACAACCAAACGGAGAGTTGATTTATACCTGCTACAGCTAAATTAGTTATCATCACCAATTTGTTAAGCACTGAAGCCGCCTTTCACTCATTCATTTATATTAAAAAGTAAATCACCATTATTTTTTTTCCAGGTGTTAAAGCATGAGTCTATCTTTTCTATGCAACACGTGTTTGGTCTTCCCAAAGCTACCCCTGTTGCGCACCATAGTTTGAATAATGCTACAGCGACTGACCAATTAGTCTAATTATGCTCTGAATTTTCAAGACGTTATCCCCAAAGATAGTTGTGCATCCCAAATGAACCATTCTCAGAGATAGTCAAACCGAATACAGGATTCAGAGCAGATGATTGGAAAAAACAAATCATATCACCTTGAGTCTGTAATGAGTGAAATCAATCAGATACGAAGACGAACATACTATATAATCAATGGCTCCATCATCAAAGACGGCCAAGACACTGAAGCAGTACCTCACTAAAGAGCGAGAACGTCATACCTACCTCGTACCAACTAGTATAGCTGCAGTTTGGAGCTAGAGATTATTCCACAGTTAACAGGTGTCCTTCAGCACTAAACCAACAATTACCATAAATCTGCCTATAAGACGAGAAATACCTACGCCTTTTTTTTACCTGTATAAGGCGGATACTCCCTCCCCTCTTAACTCTCTGGTATGTTGGGGGGGGGGGGCCAGCTACAAGGACACCCACAATTCCAGGTGGAGTTGATAGGGGTGGTACTGTCCCTCAAGTGTTGTACCCCAATGACCCGCCACCCCCTCCCTCCATCCCCCTCCTCCCTCCTCCTCCATACACTCCTCCCTATCCCTCCCCCCAACCCCTGTCGCGTGCCTCTCCTCTTCGTTCTCTATTCATTTATTCTAAGTGACGGCAGGATGGGGAGCACACGATACTAGCCTGGAAAACATCGTAAAGTGTACAGAAGGTTCAAACTGTACATACCGTTGACCCCATTTTCAGTACAATAACCTGAAACTAACAATCAAAACTTACCTCCCACATTGTCTAGTATCCCAAATATTTGTCCTATTTTTACCATTGATCCCTGGCTAATATATGTCAATCTTCCCTCCATGTTAATACCTCCCTCATAACCACGCTCTCCACACCTCATCACCTTCACCCCACCTCACTCCCCCAGCCCCTGTAAATAACTTTGTATCTCTTCCCCTCCGCCTCTCTCTCACACATACAGGCAGATCGTCTACCTCACGTGGCACTTGTCAGTATGATAGCATCGGATGGTCACCTCAACCATGGGTCATTCTAGCCCGTCCTCTCGCGCAACCTCGAAAACTTTTAGCAATCGAGATTCAACAATGATTCGGCTCACAGATGAAAGTAGAGACACGGGCGATATACTGTACATGAATACAATACACGATTTACAGATAAGGTAAATAGTGTCACGGCTGTGGTGTGGAGTATGAGACCAACCAAGCAGATTTTCTCACAGATTGCCCTGACAGGTTTCCCAAGGGAGGGTCGACGAAGCTGCTTTACTGGTTATAAGTAGCGGGACTAAGGACGACTCTCTTATTGATCCCCAGTGTCAGTGCTCACAGAGGGAGGGGGGACCACGGCTGTCAAGGTGAGACAAGTCAACCAGCCGTCTGCCACGATAACCAGCATGTGTTAACCCCTCCTCCTTACCCCACCACGTCTGAGCTCAGGACAAACTACAATATAAACCTCACAAGATACCTAAACTAACCTAACCTAACCTAACCCATCACCTGCAGTCCCATATACCCTTAAGTTCAAAGTCATAGATGCTGTAAGAAAATAATATAATGCCTCAATGATTTTGTTTTGATCCAATATACCCAAAGTAGCCGACCTCACTATAAATGAATTCTAAAAACTTTTACAATGTTTTTTCTTGAATATCGAAAATGGAACGAAATTAAATTAGTTCACTCGTAAATGAATCTTAAAATGTCATCTGATAACAGCCATGACAACCCTCCCTGACACGACCCAGTGAGAACATGACTTGACCATGACAGAAACAGGAACATCAACACCGCGTGGAACCCAGAGACTCCACACAGTACAAGGGATGGAAGGAGACTGTACAGATGCTAGGTACACCAATAGAGACAAACAGCAAACAAATTATAAAAGGAGTTTGTAGACCTGATAATATATGGAATAGAAACGTACAAAGACTTGTTAAGTGGGGATAAAGTTCTCTGTTGAGTCAAATGGATGAAAGCACAAACCAAGGAAGCATAAGGGACCAAGTGAGGAGCACATGGCAGGTGAGAGGGGGTGAGGAAGATCTACAACAGGAGGGTTGAGAGAGAGAGATGGACAGGCTATATAGTAGGAGGTGAATTATGAGTACAAAGGTCAAGAGGTATCACGTTAAAGTATCATAAAAAAAAGATTACGTAATAAGACCCTTTACAATTTAGGCTTTTTTTTCCTGTGGTCCTGTGTAATGCTACAATTCATGTGGGTCACAGAGAGTTGAGAGTCATTCCCTTAGAGACAGTGTTAGTTAGCATGTATGAGACTCAAGACTGGTGTAGTAGCACGCAGAGTGAATATCTATGAAGCAGTGTGGTCAATGCCATGGCTAAAGATTCACCTTATAATACTATGCAAGTGTGTGTGTGTGTTTCAGCCCCGATACGCTTACACTTGCATTATTCCTGTAATGAGTGATTATCAGACCACAGCTTACAGCCCAGAGAATTACAACACATATAACGGGGAGTACACTACAGGCCTCATGGTACCCCAACAAACCAGGTTGACACACCCTGGGTCAGGACCCAAGGGACCTGACCCCGGCTACTAATTACTTGAGTTAGTGGGTGACATGACCTACAACCACACCTAGCCAAGACACACCCGGGCATGACCACGCACCTGGGCAAACACAGCTGTCCAGACCTAACCAGTTTAGTGTTAATTGGCAGAGGTCAAACGCCGGCTGCTTCTCCCCATATAAAGACCCTGCAGTCCCGTCCACGGGCTTATTCTGATTCTGGTGACTCCCATCATTCACTCCCCGACTCATCTCTCTCCCGTTCGGGTGGTCGTCATTCTGTTCACTAGCACAGTCACACTCACACTCGTCCTCTCCCCAGGTCGGGAGGGAGACTTCCCGACCAGACCCCGGCGTCACCAGCTAAGCAGAGTCTCCCATAGGAGGCAGCCCAGCCAGCACCCGCTGGGTCTCCGTCAGGTAACACGTGAGTCTTTGTCAGGGCGATCCCTTGGGTGAGTTACCTACTGTGGGAAGTGTATTCATTTCATGGTTGTGTCCGAGTCAGTGTCGAGTAACGTAAACATAATGTGCTAGTGACTCCCATATGATATTGATATTAATGTGTCCATGTCATTGAGTGAATTAATAAATAGTTGTATCGAAGTGGTGTTTGAGAAGTTGTCCCTTAAGACCATATAAGATAAATAAGTGTAAATAACTAACCGGCCACACTACCAAACTTCCACTCTTTACATTCCTCCTACTTAATATTCTCTCTATAGTTCCTACCTTCTTAAAACCCCCTGTTACATTCCTCTCACCACTCATTCCCTTTTGGGTTGATCCACACCTCGTTAAAGTGGGAGGAAGAAAGGCGAGAGATAAACAGGATTCACTACATCAGTACGGTAATTTATGATACACCTGAACGAACTGACCATTGATTATTTTTTATAGGGAGGGAAGGTACGAACCACGAGATGTATTTAATGTTTCAACCTCAATTTATATACCACGTAAAACAGAAATAAAATCCCAGGTCATCCACTCACGTTACCCATCTGTAGGGAGTTTCGCTGAACACAGTTGGACGTCAAAATAAACCTCAATTAATTACAAGGGGAGATAAATGTAGACATAATTGTTATACCTTTACATCCTCGCCGTACCTGAGCTGCAAATGTCATGAAAAGGGGAGAGAGAAATTGAGAGAAAACGAGTCTGCAGCCATAAATACAAAAATTGAACCCGTCATGTTTTTATAATGAGAAGGGCGGGTGGTGGGTGCTGGTG